GCTATTTTGGCTTGGGTTGCTCTGTACATGCATAATTCATGTGTTAATTTAATACTTGCCCTGAGGTTCAAAGAATCATCACTTCTCAAAGCTTTCGTTGTGTTGATTTGTGTCTGTCTTATATATGTGTAGCTTAAGGGTGAGACTGAGACTGGAGCATGTTCATATTCAAAATTAGAGTTGCCCTTCTTTGTTTCTCAGTGCTCTGGATTCTCCTGTACTCTATGGAATGTAAGGTCTTTCTTTGCTGGTTTCTCTGACCAGACATGAGACTTCTCCTGAAGTTCTAGACATCACTGCCAGCCTGCCACTATGTTAATGGGACCCACCTCTGGAGAAAACTGTTGGGTAAAAATAAAACCAAAACCAAAACCAAAAAAGCCTAACAAGAAATTTAACATCCATGCAATCGGTTCTCCAAATTCTGACTCCTCATCACAATCTGTTTTACTTACTTTTCAGAGTCTATAAGTAGTTGGAATTTTTCCTATTTGTTGATTGTATTTAGTTCTCATCAGTAGGAAGCAAGAACTCTAAAAGTTTTATACCAGTGTGTCAGAACTGAACATGGCATTGGTTACACGGTGATGGGATAGGAACAAGCATACATCTTTTTAGAAAAAGAAAGAATGAGACAGAGTCCGCAATCTATGGCAGTTAGCGAACACTGCCTCCTTGTTGAATTCCCCCTAGCTTCCTCTTTTTTTGCTGTGTATGAATAACTCACTTGTCTGTTGTCTTCCTTAGACTCTGAGAGCCTCTTCCTTATCCATGATCTTCAGTGGTCTAATCTGAAGTTCATGACAGAGATGCCACGTGGGTGCTGGTGCAGAAATAGGGCAGAGGGTAATGTTAATAATTGAACAATCAATATTTATAAAAGTTTGTAATTTTGTGTCAATACAACTTTAAGTTTTTGCAGGCTAATGTCTATTTTATTTTAGCAAACTCTACATCAAGTTAATCATGTATGTAGTTCTTAAACCTAATGAATCCCCTCTCTTATTTCCTGGGTTTTGTGTTTGCCCATCCTCTTCCCCCCAATTTAATGGTATGCATCTTGAGGTCATATGAAATAAGAGGCTAGGGCAAGAAGGAGACACTCTTAATTAGATTGGTACAATTGGGATGGCTTTTAGAATCATATCTCCTCTTCCTTGGGTTAAACATACAGTTGGTTTTTCCAATTTTGTGATGCCGCAAATTACTGGATTCTCAGTCACTTTAATTGGATCCTTAGAAAAGAGAGAGCCTTTTTTAGCAAAAGTATTTCCTTTTCATCTTTCTCGGTAACTGGCCAAGTGTCGCCTCAGCTTATCTCATGGTGTCTCGTTAAAAGCATCAGGAAGCAACCAACAGACATGAATATTCTAACTTTTCTGATATTTTAGCAATAGGCTTATTAGGCAAAGTTTTTACTCCCCAGTTCTCTATTTCAATTTTAACAATATCAGAATTCATTGGAACTCTTCCCTTGTCCTCATATTCAATCATATATATGTCCAACATATTTTAATTTCTATTTACTTCTCAAAGGCAATAATAATTTCCTATCTCCCTATAACCATTTGGACAAGCTGTTTAGAAGAATGCTGACTGGAGGCAAAAGTCATTTAGAAAATAAATTATTTTTTGATAGACAAACTATATTCAAATAATAATAAAGGAATGACTATATACCATAAACATGTTGTCAGCTTAAAATAGATCTGCATTAGCCATTTTCCAAGACTAATATACAGGCTTATGAGATAGAAGAACGATGCATTCATTTGCCTAAAATGTATTTCTAAGTCAATGGATTCTGTAATTTCTTTCATTTATATCTGAAAAGTGTCCACCAATGTCTTTCTCTAAGAGCTATGAAAATGAAGACAAATAGGCTTTTCTCTTTAATCTCTTAGATACCGATATTGATTTATTAATTTAACAAATGCTTAGCCGTGTGTATTGTGCGTCCTGCACTCACACTGGTCTCTATCCTGTGTATACACTGGGAACAGACAGCCTTGGAGGTTGGGTCTGACAGGAGGACGGACCCAGAAATGATTCAAAAGAAAACAAAGGAAAATATAAAGACAAAGGAAAATCAGAGAAGTGCCATGATGTAAAATAAAAGCAGGATGCTTGACATGAGAACATAACACAGAGAAAGATTTATTTCAGACTGAGTTATAACGAACAGATTCCTCTAGGAAAGCCCTGGTAAATGCATTTCATTTTGTTTGTTTAGAGTAACTTAACATTTTATGCTTTATAGACATTTATTTTGTAATCCATTTATTAAAAACAAACATATGGTATATTATGCAGGTTAAATCATTATGAACTCATTTCAAAATATGTTCATGATCCGAATAACTGACAAAACTTATATTATCTTGCTGCTACCTTTGCCTTCCCAAAACCATCCCCTACAATTTACGTCAGAGTGCTTTTGTAATATTTTTAAAATTATGTCACTCCTCTGTTTAAAATCTTTCAATGCTTTTATATTGAACTTACAATCCACCTGAATTCCTCTCGTGGGCCTACAAAGTCTCTTACATGATTTGGGTTTATCTCCCTCTAATTATAACGCCCCCTCCCCCTGCCTTCCTCTGATATCCTGCCAGAGGAAATGGGATTAACTCTAACACTTGGAGAGAACAATGTGGCTGCATGTGACAAAACTGAAAATACACAGTCACTTTGACCCATTATTTTAGGTATGAAAATTAAGAAATAATGGAACTGGTAATAAATGCTATGTGCAAAGATGTTTAATGCTGAAGTTCTTTGTCGTAGTGAAAATAAATTAATAAAACAGAAGACATCCTGAAAACAAGAAAACGTTCATTAGTTTGTGGAAGATGGTAGAGAATTATTCTAAGACCATTATTACCAGCTATTACAACATATTGGATATTGACTTCAGAATGCGTTTGTATAGGTATCTGGGAATGTACTTGTCCAGTCAAAGGTCTAATGCTGACCAGCATACTGGGACTGTCACACTGGAGACGAGAGAATGTCTGTTCAGCAGATCTACATCAACTAGAAACATAGTTTTCTCCCCATTTCCTGTGGGCTTTCCTGCTAGCCAGCCTGAGTTTGAGCAAGTTGAGACAGTAGTATTCATACTACTCCGTTAAAATGTCGGTGAGCATAGTCTAGATGTGTTATGGATAAAGCAGGGCTAGCTGCTACTGAGGTCCAAGACCAGAAGGGAAAAGGAAGCAAAGTAGAAGAAAAGTTGTGGAGAGGAAGAAGGGTAAAGGAAAAGAGAAATCGTAAGAAATGAGTCAGTAAAACAACATCCATTGAGTAAAAGACATGTGTATGAGGAACAAAGTAGTTTTAAAATATACTGCTTATTAAGAAGCTCAAAAGAGAAGAAAATAAGATATAGTTTGCAATTCTTTATATGGTAATTCATGTATAACCAAATGAAGCAGGATTATAGTTCAGAGCAAGCTTGTCCAACCTGTGGTCCATGGGCCAAGTGCGGCCCAGCATGGCTATTAATACAGTCCAACACAAATTCATAAACTTTCTTAAAACATTATGAGATGTTTTGCCATATTTTTTAGTTCATCAGCTATCATTAGCAGTAGTGAATTTTATGTGTGGTCCAAGACAATTCTTCTTCCAATATGGCCCAAGGAAGCCAAAAGACTGGGTACCCCTGGTTTGGAGGACGTGTGGATGGGAATAGATCATGTACAGGTCTGTAGCTAGCCCAGATATTAACTATGTTACCAGTAGACTTGTTCATTTCTTCAACAAATTTGAGTATCTGTTACAAACTACTTTCATTTTGGGCATCCAGCTGGTGATTCTGACTGAAGGATTTACAACTTCAAATTTGATAATGTTTATAATGACAGTCTATGTATTAGGATTAAAATTAGAGTTTGGAAGATTGCCATAGCAACCCTGAATAAAAATAAAGGGTGGGGGAGGGGGCGTGTGGTAGAGCCTTATGTTTTGTGGGTTCAATATAGGAAGTCAGATCAGAATTGTGACTCAGATAACAACTTCTGTGAGAGAATTCTCCTTTGGCTTGCTCTGGAGGCTACAGGAAGCCTCTGGCAATATTTGTTCTGGCAATTTTCTAAAGCTGCAGCTGATTTTTAAGCTGAAAAGTTCAAATCTCTCTAGACTTTTCAAACGTCATCCTCTTCTCCGCTTACAGTTCTACCTCTATATTCCATAAGTGGGTTCGATGCAATTGTAAAGAAATAGTCATTCTGTCCAGGACTGTTTTCCAGAACTTCAAGATGAGGGATCACAAGTTTCTTTTTAGTAAAAAATACAGTATACACTAATAAGTTTTAAACAGTGAATTCTAGGCAAATAATAAAATAATCCAAATATAATTGTGTCACCATTTTCTTTTTAATGGCAAGCACTAACTTCCATTCTGAAACGAGCTTTTTTTCACTCAATACTTTGATTTAGGACTTATGCTTCTTAAAAAGGGGAAATACTTGGAAGACAATTGCATTGATATGGTGAAAACAAAGCAATAATATATTTTAGATTAGATATATAATTATTATATTAGAATAATTATATAGAATTATTATATTAGAATCATATATAATTCCAACTAGTTGATGATTTGTTTTGTGCGACCACCAGAGCAGGCGCCAGAGAAAAGGCAAGTAGGCAAAGTAAAAAGAAATTTTATTAGCTAGCCAATGTGAAAGAAGAAAGGGCGAAGTTCACCGGTCTCCCGCGGTGGAGGCCAAGGAAATCGAGGAAGTCGCTCCGGCGTTCTCGGGCGAAGCTCCTGGGTCCGCATGTAAGGATGGGCCGAGGAAGTTCGCGCCGCGTGTCTGCCCGGAGCGGCTTTATGTCTTGGGCCTGGGAGTGGGAGGGCAGTAGGCCCGACATGGGCGGGTCGGGGGCCGTGTGGTAGGTGCGGCCAGGTAGGTTTCGGTTTCCTCGGTCGGACGTCAGGTTGCACCTGCGCAGTTGACCTGTGTCTTTCCCGGGGCGCGGGAAAGTTGGTGATGAAGAACCCGGAAATACGCCATCTTAGTCCCTTTTGTTCTTTGTTTCCTTCCTCCCTCCGTCGAGACAGTTGAGACTTCTTTCCACTAAATAGGAAGAACAAAGTGTGTCTGGGGGCATCATTGACATAAAAGTATGTTCACTCCAGGCTGTAACGCCATTTCATAGCCACTGAGTGATCTTGGGAGGTACGTAGCTGCCTGTGGACTTTGCCTCTGGCCTTGTATGTGTCTGTCTCCAAAGCTAGTTAATGGTGGGACTTCATTTTTCTTTTCCAATCCAAGCTAATCTTCAATCTTTTAGTTTTGGACCAGTTTTTACTCTTTCAATATAAATTATAAAATGAGAGTACATTGTTTTATAAATTGCTATGTGATAGAAGCAATGCATAGAGGAAAATAGATTGCATTAATTGCAAACTTTTAGAAAATATAATAAAATACAAATGAGAATTTAGCTCAATAAGTTTGAAATAGAATAACAAAATAAATACATAAATAAGTCAAATGGGGAAATTAATAGAGACAAGCACAGATATCAATTTTAAAAATGTAAAATTAACAACATATAAACAAAATTGGTAGACCAAAAACAAATTCTTGTAAGGTTGCTCCCCACAAGAAATGTCAAGAGTCTGAAAGTCTAAGTATAGTACAATGTAGATAATTGTCTAAGAAACTACTAATTTGCTCCAAGAAAAGACATAATCTTTTTCTGTCATTTTGTCTCTTAGTGGCATTACTGAGGTATAATTGACATACCAAAAAAAAGTGCACATGTTTAATGATATAATTTGATGAGTTTGGACATGTGCATGTATCCCTAAAATCTAACCACGATCTACTTAATAAACATATCCATTACCTCCAAAAGTTTATTTGTGTCCCTCTGTGTGTGTGTTTGGGTGTATGGTGAGATCACTTAACATGAGACCTGCCCTCTTAACAAAATTTTAAGTGCACAATCTCTTATTGTTAACTACATGCAGTATGTTTCACAGCCGACCTTTAGAACTCATTCATTTTGCATAACTGAAACTTTATACCCTTTGAGCAACTCACCATTTCCTTTTGCCCCATCCCTTGGCAACAATGATGCTATTTTCTGCTTCCATGAGTGTGGCTATTTTAGATACTTCACATAAGCAGAATCATGCAGTATTTGTTCTTCTGTGACCGACTTATTTCATTCAGCCTAGTATCTTACTGGTCACACAAATTGTTACAAATGGTAGGATTTCCTTCTTGTATAAGGCTAAAAAGACAAAATTTCAAAGAGGCCATGTCTGTTAATGGAATTAAAAGGTAATCAAAGATAGACCTGAAAGCTACAGCAAGTCAAAGCATTTTAACCTTGATTTTATTGTTTCAAGAAGCAGTAGTTTGTCTAATGCTGCAGAACATAGAAACAAAAGAAACAGTTTGATTTTATAGAATGCTTATTATTTGTCTGGAACTTGTCTAAATAAATCTACTGTAACTTTTAATTCATTTGCTCCTCACATCTGAGGTGGAGTCAGACGGAGAGCAGGCTTCCGGGAGCAGGAGCGTCTCCCTAGACACAGAGGGCTTCTGCCTGCCGTCTTACTCACCCGATCATTAACAGAGAGGAGAGAACTTGAGTGTGGATTTTGGGCTGCAGCCTCCTTCTGCTCTGCCAGGAGCTGCTTGCTGTGCTCCCAAGAAGCCTGCAAGCGAGAGGCCTTGCAACCTGATTCATACTCTCAGACAACCTTCTTTGACTTAGCGTCTTTTAGGAAAAAAATGAGATATTTAGTTTTATATTTATGTCATTTTTAAGTTTGTTCAGGATAGTGATAAAGAAGAAGGGTGTACTTTTGGAGGAGCACTTTGGAGACTCCCACCATTACATACATTGGCTAGAAATGGACAAATTCTAAACATCTAGGGGGCTATGGTAGTCACGTGGGTGGCTTTGGGTACGGCCAGGAGTTGAGCTCTGAGGTTGCAATCTCGAATTTCAGAGTAAGGCAGGGTATTTTGACCCAAAGAATCTGTAGAGGTTTATATTAGGTCAAGTGAGTATTTGGCATTGAGAAGTGGTCTTTCGACTGCTGTGTCCTAGATGAAATGATCTGAGTCAGCCATTTGCTTCTTGACCTGGACCTGTGATTGCAGTTAACCATGTCGTTTTGCTTTGTTTTGTTTTCCATGGGGTGAGGGGTGGCCTCCTTTTCAGGACAACACACTATGTCCTCCCAAAGGGGACAGGCCACAAGAGAGGTGCTAGGGTTGGGCTTCCCAGCAGTCTTGTCAGTACCTATCAGAAGCTTGGTGTCTGCTGACCCAACAAGCAAACACTGTCCGCATGTCAGAATATTATCAGCAAAGCAATGACCTCAGGGCAGAGCCCATCACATCCTGTTTTCATCTATGCTCAGTCATATTTATGTGGTGGCCGTCCCTGCCAAACACAGACATACACAGGCATACGTACCACAGTGAAGTGTCTGGGGATTTGTTAATTATAGCAGTTCGAATTCCTCAGGTTTTCAAGATTTCAACTATGATCACTGATACAGAGGTAATAGATTTTATTAATACCTAAATAGAAAAGAATAAGGGCCCTTACAGTATTTCATTTTGGTATTAGAGAAACAATCTAAAAAAATTATGCAAATCGTGGGTACAAGTAGTTTGAGAAATATGCTTACTATCAGGACAAGAGGAGGGAAATAATGTGAGCAATAGAAACAATGGAAAATATATTTAAGAGAGGGAAATTCCAGTTGCAAATAGGAGGAGATCCTAAAATAAAGACAACAGATTTGAAGAGAAAAATCTGGTGTGATATTGAAGGCCAGAGATGATATAAATATGGGGAAAATGCCCCCATAACCAATTGTTCTTTTAGAGAAATCTTTTAGAGAATTTTTAGAGTAAAATATGTGTTTTTTTAGAAGACAAAATCTTTACCTATGATCCACATAAACCTAAGGCTTATTTGTCCTCAAAGAAGACACATGGGAGTGGCTTTTCCCCAAATAATTCAGAACATCATTGAAAAGGGGTTTTACAACAGGGATTCCATAAGAAAACCAAATGAGGAACCATCCCTCAAACATTGTGACGGCTTTGCCAAGTGATTACCAAAAATTCTCTGTGCAGGTCTGAGGGAGAAGTCCAGAAGTATCAGTGAAAAAGAATCAAGGTCTTCTTAGGTAATTTCAGGAGAGTATAGCCACTGAAGCTAGGCCTATAGTTTTACCCTCAGCAAGTTGCCTACTATGCTTACAGAACTAATACTCTAAAGTACACACAAGGTGAAAAGGGGAGAAGGCAGGCAATGGCAAATTGTGTTCCGACTTGGATAGATGATGGCATGAGGGCATTACCTAGCCCAGAGAAATGATGAAAACAAGATCGGTTTGAACAAAGGTTCACCACCCACAAGCATTTGAAAGATCTGGAACCATTTTACTATGTGGACAAAATGTGAAAGAATATTTTGAGAAAACAAACTTATGGGGCACAAAATACACAAAAAGTTAAAGGGAAAAAAGTCTCCATTCTGGAAAAACAAATTATCCCACAATGTATAATGTATCAATACATCACAGTGTATCCCACAAACATATACAATTAAAATTTAAACAATCTGCATATATTAGAGAGGGAAGGTGACTCAGTTAGAAATGTTTGTATTCATAGGGATCCAGCTGAACCCTCCTGAAAAGAATAAGGAAATGGCAGAGAAATTAAACATGAGAAGCACATTTCAGGACTGTAGAGGAAAAAAGTAGCAATGTAAAACAATGTACTTTAAGGCTTGGAATATTGAAAAAGTGGATGAAAAGGACCATGTCTTAAAGGAAACAAGTAGGGGTATCAGTTCCTCTTAGGTTCCTTTTGGCACAGGTTTCAAAAGCATGAAATAGCAGCTCCAGATCAGAAGTCTGAAGGAGATTTTCCAACTGAGACAAGTAAAGGGATGAAAGAGAGCCAATTATTAACAGGCAGGTTTCACAGGCTTTAATTTATCCCATAGTAAGAGGCAGTGGAATGAGCCACTGTAGCCCAGGAATGAAAAAGCCCGCTCAGGAAAATAGTGGATGCTGTCTCAGAGAGATGATAACCTTGGTATAACATTTGAGCAGATATAGGTGAGTTGGGATAAATAGCAATTACCACTTTTGATTATAAAGTAAAAAGCACCACAAATATTACCTGTTGACTGATGCCCTTTTCTTTGGAACTTTCTTGACTTCCAAGAAACTAGAAGCATTTCAATGCCAGTGTATAAGACCGGACATAGATACACAAAATGAACCTTCCTTCAGATTTCATGATTGTATAGTACCAAAAATATTGCTTTGCAGGGTTATTGCTTCCAAACAAATGTAAATTTATAGGGCATGGATTCTGAGTAACAGGAATGAACTGATTGTCATTTTAGCCAGGATAACTCCATGAAGATTATCTCTGCAGACCCCCCTTTCCTTTAGTTTCTGCTAGGGAGTTTGGTAAAACTAAATGCTTGGTTCTGGGAATGTAAATATGCCCAGGAATATTGTTATCAAAGCTAATGATATGTTTTTAAAACATGTATAGTAATGGATATGGTAAATTAATAATTTTGTGTACTTTGTGGATGCTTTTTCAGTCAATAGAAATGAAACTTGGCCAGGCACAGTGGTTCACACCTGTAATCCCAGCACTTTGGGAGGTCGAGGTGGGAGGATCGCTTGAGGTCAGGAGTTCAAGACCAGCTTAGGCAATATAGTAAGACCCCATCTCTACAAAAATAAATAAATAAATAAAGTAAACAAAACAAGAAAACTTTAAACTCTTGAGAGGTTTGTTGCGTCTCTAATCTCTCAGGCCTTGTAGGATGCATATCCATTAGCATGAGAGATGCGAAAGCTGTCTCTGGCTGCTGCAAGGAACACTTTTAGGCAGTCATCAAGAATGCCTGTTAGTGAGATGAAACTGAGTAAGAAATTTGGGAGGATAATATTTTGACTTAATTATAACACAAGAATTTTAAATTGTAGATTTTACGCTTCTAAAAACAAGATAATTGATTTTAATTGCTTCAAACTTTCTATCTTTAGATTTTAACTTGAAAAAGGTTTAAATATTTAACCTTTAATTTCTTCCTGGAAATTTTTACATTGCCTGGGATTAAAACTGGGGGAATATCTCAACTGACATTATTAATTAGAATTTATGTATTGTGTTTATGCATCTTATCTTACTGCTTACTCATAAGCTCACAGTACTTTGTGACTGGATGTGAGTTTAATACAAGAAGGAATAGAATGGAAATGAGGTGTCTGAGGAGCTGATTTTCAGAATGTATTTTTCTGATACATGTTAAAGACCTGAGAGGGGCTGTATTAGCCCATTTTCAGACTGCCAATAAATACATACGTGAGACTGGAAAGAAAAAGTGGTTTAATGTACTTATAGTTCCACACGGTTGGGGAGGCCTCACAATCATGGCAGAAGGCAATGAGGAGCAAGGCACATCTTACATGGATGGCAGCAGGCAAAGAGAGAGCTTGTGTAGGAAAACTCCCATTTTTAAAACCATCATATCTCATGAGACTCATTCACTATCATGGGAACAGGGCAGGAAAGACTCACCTCCATAATGCAATCACCTCTCATCAGGTTCCTCCCACAACACTTGGGAATTGTGGGAGTTACAATTCAAGATGAAATTTGGGTGGGGACACAGCCAAACCATATCATTCCACCCCTGCCCACTCCCTCAAATTTCATGTTTTCACATTTCAAAGACAATCATGCTTTCCCAAGAATCCCCCAAAGTCTTAACTCATTTCAGCATTAAAAGTCCACAATCCAGTGTCTTATCTAAAACAAGGCAAGTTCATTCTGCCTATGAGCCTGTGAAATCAAAAGTAAGTTAGTTACTCCTAGGCACAACAGGGGTACAGGCATTGGGTAAATACATCCATTCCAAATTGGAGAAATTGGCCAAAACGAATAGACCCCACGCAAGTCTGAAATCCAGCGGAGGAGTCAAATATATATATATATTTGAGATGGAGTCTTGCTCTGTCACCAGGCTGGAGTGCAGTGGCACAATCTCAACTCACTACAGCCTCTGCCTCCCAGGTTCAAGCAATTCTCCTACCTCAGCTTCCTGAGTACCTGGGACTATGGCACGCACCACCATGCCCAGCTAATTTTTGTATTTTTAGTAGAGACAGGGTTTCACAATGTTGGCCAGGATGGTCTTGATCTCTTGACCTTGTGATCAGGGCAGTCAAATCTTAAAAGCTCCAAAATGATCTCCTTTGACTCCATGTCTTGCATCTGGATCACACTGTTGCAAGAGATGGGTGTCCATGGTATTGGGCAGCTCTGCCCCTGTGGCTCTGCAGAGTAGAGCCTCCCCGGCTGCTTTCATGGGTGGCATTGAGTGTCTGCAGCTTTTCCAGGTCCACAGTGCAAGCTGTAGGTGGATCTATCAATCTGGGGTCTGGAGGATGATGGTCTCTTTTCACAGCTCCACTAGGCAGTGTCCCAGTAGGGACTCTGTGTGGGGGCTCCAACCCCCCATTTCCCTTCCACACTGCTCTAGCAGTGGTTCTCCATGAGAGCCCTGCCCCTGCAGCAAACTTCTGGCTGGGCATCCAGGCATTTCTATACATCCTCTGAAATCTAGATGGAGGTTCCCAAACCTCAATTCTTTACTTCTGTGCACCCACAGGCTCAACACCACATGGCAGCTGCCAAGGCTTGCGGCTTGCACCCTTGCTGTACCTTGGCCCCTTTTAACCATGGGTGGAGCTTCTGGGACGCAGGGCACCAAGTCATTAGACTGCACACAGCACAGGGACCCTGGACTTGGCCCAAGAGACCATGTTTTCCTCCTAGGCTTCGGGCCTGTGATGGGACGGGCTGCTGTGAAGACCTCTAACATGCTTGGGAGACATTTTCCCCACTGTCTTTGAGACTGACATTCAGCTCCTCATTACTTATGCAAATTTCTATGGCCAGCTTGAATTTCTCCTCAGAAAATGGGATTTTCTTTTCCATGGCATTGTCAGGCTACACATTTTCTAACCTTTTATGCTCTGTTTCCCTTATAAAACTGAATGCCTTTAACAACATCCAAGTCACATCTTGAATACTTTGCTGCTTAGAAATTTCTTCCACCAAATACCCTAAAGTCACCCTTCTCAAGTTCAAAACAAGTCTCTAGGGCAAGGGCAAAATGCTGCCAGTCTCTTTGTTAAAACATAGCAAAAGTCACCTTTGCCCCAGTTCCCAAGAATTTCTTCATTTCCCTCTGAGACCACCTCAGCCTGGATTTTATTGTCCATTTCGCTATCAGCATTTTGGTCAAAGCCATTCAACAAGTCTCTAGGGTGTTCCAAACTTTCCCTACATTTTCCTGTCTTCTTCTGAGCCCTCCAAACTGTTCCAACCTCTTCCTGTTACCCAGTTCCAAAGTCACTTCCACATTTTTGGGTATCTTTCCAGCAACACCCCACTCCTGGTACCAATTTACTGTATTAGTTGTTTTCAAGCTGCTGATAAAGACATACCTTAGAGTTGGAAGAAAAAGTGGTTTAATGGACTTACAGTTCCACATGGCTTGGGAGGTCTCACAATCATGGCAGAAGGCAAGGAGGAGCAAGTCACATCTTACACGGATGGTGGCTGGCAAAGAGAGAGCTTGTGTAGAGAAACTCCCATTTTTACAACCATCAGATCTTGTGAGACTCATTCACTATCATGAGAACAGTGCAGGAAAGACTTATCTCCATAATTCAATCACCTCCCACCGGATTCCTCCCATGACATGTGGGAATTGCAGGGATTATAATTCAAGATGAGATTTAGGTGGGGACACAGCCAAACCATATCACGGGCTAAATCTAATCTCCCCAGAACAAGTCCCAAAAAGGCATCCACAGGACCAGGGCTGAGTTTAAGAGAAACAATTTAATGAATGCGAGATGGAGGCCAGGCTCTCTTCCAACCTCAGGAAGAGCCATGTTCCTTTTTACAACAGGGAAACGGTTAGGCACGAAGAATTCCCAGAACAGAAATTGTCTCAGATATATGCTAACCTCAGTGTGACAGCAGAAACACTTTTTCTTGCTTTCTCTTGTGGTCATGAAGAGAGGTTTTCACTAAATGACTTAAAGCCACTGCACATACTCTTTCCACCCACAGAGAGGTGGAGAAACTTAATCAACTGGGAAACTTGGGAAACATAATTAGGTGTGCATCATTCAATACCACCTTTTTGTCCTTTAGAGCATCAGCTGCCCACAGTGATGCCATATTTTCTTTTGCTGAAAAATGGCCGTTAAATGTGTTTAATTCTGAGGTTTACTTGACATCTGTTTCTTACCAAGATACACACTTCAACCGACCTTCAGTTATAAGTTGATGTTTTGACCTACATAGTGGTAATTTATTCTCAAACTGTTTAGAATCTGCTACAGAGGTGTGATCTTTATTCTAGGATATTTTATGGGAGGCTGTGAGCAGTAACTACTGCTATTCACATTTTAAAGAAGAAACAGAAACACAGCGTTTAAATTATGGAGTGTAGATCTCACAGATGGTAAGTAGATGAACTGTGACTTGAATCCATGTAATCCTACTCTAGAGACTGAATTCTTAACAACTATGTTCTATTGCCCTGGTAGAAAGTTTGCTTTGTAATAATGTTGCCAAAAACAAACAAAAAGGAATAAAAGCCCAGTGTCCTCAAGGAGGGCATGATGGAACTATGTTAAACTGACTGACCCTTCCTCCCCTTTCATGACAACTCTGATCTCTCTCATCTTCTGGCTAATCTTTGGTCAAGGCTTAGGGGTTACTAAATGCAAGTGAAGCTTTGAGATCATCTCTGTGGGTTGCTTGGAAAAAGCTGGTATCATCCTTTTGTTCCTCTATTTGCAGGATAAATAAATCTCTGGAGACTGGTATTGGAAGACACTGGGAAGGGAATAGGAAGTTACAGATCTTGGGAAGAGTTTTATCCACAATGATCTGTGTCATCAAAAAAAAAGGAAGGTCAAGTTCAAACCACTGTGTGTGTGTCTGATCGTTCTGGTCATGAGGACACTGAGAAGACGGAGCTTATGGGAGCCAAGCCTGGGAAAATATAAACAGCCTGAGAATAGGAAGGGCTTCAAAATTTGGATAGATAGTCTAATAACCCCTAGCTTACAGCCCCTGCCCAGAATCTTGTGTGGACTCCTACCACTGATGAACTATTGCACTTAGGGTGCTCTCTGGACTTCATCCTTAATGGATTTCCAGATAAATATTCTCTCAGATAGCCTGAGGGCAGAGCAGATTAAAGCTGCTGGAAGAAGTAAGCAGCTTGAGAAAAATAGTGAGAACGCCTAAAGAGATTTAAATGGAATCCACATACACACAAACATTATTTCTAGGGAGTAAAAAACAAATAATTTCTGACTAAATAAGTGGCTGATAAGTTCAAGTATGGTCACTGTTTTCTTACGTTGTAAGTGTTTGGTAGATTAAATACAAACATTATTTAAAGCATAGGCAAAGTCGGGCACAGTGGCACATGCTTGAAATCTCAGCACTTTGGGAGGCTGAGGTGGGAGGATTATTGAGCTCAGGAGTTCAAGACTGGCCCGAGAAACATGGCAAAACCCCGTCTCCACTATAAATAGAAAAAGTAGACAGGCATGGTGGTGCACGTCTGTAATACCAGCTGCTGGGGAGGCTGAGGCATGAAAATCACTTGCACCCAGGAGGCAGAGGTTTCAGTGAGCTGAGATGGCACCAATGCACTCCAGCATGAGTAACAGAGCAAGACCTTGTCTCAAACAAGAACAACAACAAAAGTCCTAAAGCACAGGCAAAAATATTGAAGAGATTGATAAACACACAAATACGTATGTATACAAATACACATACCTATATATATATCTAAGTCTATCCATCTATCAATATATGCACACACATTTAAAATCAATAGAACAAAGAAACCCACAGAAAAAAAAGCTAGGTAATCTAGCATGTACTTTCTGGCAAAAAATAAAAAGTTTTATCTCAAGCATTGAGGTTTTCTTACCTCAGGCACTCTTTAAGTTGACCTCAGTCAAAGACTTAGGGTTAGGCAGTTTACTTGGGAGGTGATCCCAGAAAGCTCAGGTGTGGGAGAAGAGAATGTGAGAAGGGGGTGGGGGATCTGGGGAATCAACCAAGGGTATGTTATGGAGATGGTTACTCTTGTTGGCAACTTGAATGCAATCCTGGGGAGCTCTCTTAAGAACCATGGAAAACGGGCCTCAGAATTATTCCTCTTGGGGTCAAAGAATCTGGGGCCTATATGTTACGTTTCACTGGTGAAGGGTTACTCTTGAGGAGACAGCAAATTCCCTGCAGTTCTGGGACTTCCTGAGCTTGGGCTGATTAAGCTCAAGAGAAGCATAAGGATGCTGGTAACTGGAGTGGGAACTTGTGAGCTTCCCATGGCTATAGGCAAAGTCTGTGGGAGATCTGTGGGATACATAACAGGACGTTAACTGTATCTGGGGAAACATTGGTGGTAGTGCTGAAGGTGCTTAAAACAAACTCAGATTTGAGATAAAAGTTATTATCTGGCCAGGCACGGTGGCTCATGTCTGTAATCCCAGAACTTTGGGAGGCCGAGGCAGGCAGATCACAAGGTCAGGAGATCAAGACCATCCTGGCTGACACGGTGAAACCCTGTCTCTACTAAAAATGCAAAAAATTAGCCAGGCATGGTGGTACGTGCCTGTAGTCCCAGCTACTCAGGAGGCTGAGACAGAAGAATTGCTTGAACCTGAGAGGTGGAGGTTGCAGTGAGCCGGGATCATGCCACTGCACACTTGCCTGGGTGACAGAGCAAGACTCCATCTCAAAAAAAAAAAAAAAAAAAGTTATTATCTTTTCACATTGAATGGAAATAAATCATAAAAAAGAAGTCTGACATTTGGGTCCAACATGATGACAATGATGCTGATAGTAATAATAATGATCATTACAGTAGTGAAATACTTATGTGGCATTTTTGTTGTGTCATGTACTCTTCTGAGCATTTTTCAAAAACGCTGATATAACTCCTACAACAACTGAATGAAATAGTACTTGTATTATCCTGATTTTACAGATGAGCAAACTGGGGTAGAAGAAAGATAAGTAAGTATGTGTAACTTGCCCAAGATCACACCCCAAGAGTGGGAGGATCATAATCATGGCCCCAGGCAGCTGGCTTCCAGAGTCCACACTGACACTACACTGCCCAATATGTTTGAGTCTTGCCAGTGTGAAAGAAAAAGTATTCAGTGATACTTGTTAATGCACAGTAAGGAAGATTTTACTCAGCACCATACTATAGGTTTAAGGGCCACTGCAGTGGGATCTTTCAGTGGGAGAGAGATTGGGATCAACTTCATTCATATATAGGCAAGTGGGAATTTACAGCCTAGAAGCAGTGTGGGGGTCAATGGATAGGAAATTGCTAAGAGAAAACACATCGGAGTGAGGGGGATTCCAGTTACAAAGAGGCCAGGCTTATAAGACGTCACATGTGGAATACTGGAGGATGGGGAACTTAATCAGATATCGAGAATAATTAGGGGTTAAAAATGGAGGTGTTCTTGCTAAACTGACTTAGCAGGGATCTTTGCTATAATGGAATTTTACAAGGAAATGCACAGATGGGCCTAGGAGAAGGTTCAGAAACCTGATCAAAGTTTGGCCAAGGTTTGTCACGAGGACTTGCTTCAACCTCATTAACCAGCTACATGACAATCTTTGTTTGCCTTTAGATTGAGTATTTACTCAAATTCGATTCTGGCAACTTCATTGAAATCAAATGCATGGATATCTTGCAATACTGCAATCCCGCTATTAGGGTTCTATCCCTTAGAAATACTATCATCAATACAGGAGTAGATATAAATAAAATTGATTGTATCCAATTTGTTCATACTAATCCCTAGCAAAAAACCAAGTAAATACCCATCAATCCTGAGATGTTCATACTAATTACAATACACTCAAGAGTATATGAAGGCATTAAATATAAGTAAGCTAAACCAGCTAAAAAGAGGTATTTCCACGAAGTAGTATTGAGGAAGCAAAGTGATATAAAAAGTTTTCTAAACACTATTTTGTCTGAAAAATAAAAATGGTACAACTATTAGTGAGTTGATGTTAAATATACACAGAACTGACTGTTTCTGATTATATAACTTGGATAAAAACATTAAAATATACAAAAATACAAAATAAAGGGACACATAGCTTGACTTAACTGAATATGGTGCCTTGTTTTCTGTATAAGCAGTGGTTAAACTTTAAAATCAACGAGTGAAAGAAGCTAAAACAATGAAAAGAAAAATATTATTCAGCCCCCCCAAGTTATATTTGTGGCATAATTATACTACTGAGTTGAGGTAAAATAATTTATGTGAACCCATGCAAATAATTGTATCTCTATTGCATAAAAGTCCTTTTAGTATAAAATTAATTTAATAAAATTTAAAAAGTGCCTTGCTGAGTACTTGGCTTACAATAAGTACTTAATAAATTGTAATATTGTATCAGTTTTGTTTATAATAAATTACTATAATATTACTCTAATGGAAGGCAAAGAAAAATATAATTATATGTTTCAAAATGTGGGAGTGGATGAAAGGAGGAGAAGATGAGAGTAAGGAGGAGTGTCCTAGATCAAATCGATGCCTCTCCAGGTTCTAGCTGCAGATACAGCTTCATCTTCAAATATGGTTTTCTCAGCTCCCCAAGGGCTGAGGGGCTGTGCTCAACACAGTCTCTCACAAGCCTCATCAGGGCATCTGGGGCAGGTCCATTGACCAGGTCACTTCCAAATGAATCCAGAGAGGCTCCGACTTACCTACCGGCTGGAGCGTGGGAAGTAGGTGTCACAGGTTTGGAGGACAAATCCTCCTCCTTCCCCGGCTCCAGCTCTTTTGCAGTTGGATGTTTCCATCAAGCTTCTAGAGAGTTATCCAAAATGATCAAGTGCCTAGCTTGTTTATTTTGAGGTTGTATAGCTGGTTCTGTAACACATACATGTGCACGCGCACACACACACACATTTTTTTCTCTTTTGCCCGCTTCACTTTTTCCCTCAGTGTGCTTGCACAGGTATTTTATTCATCCAAAAAGTATTAATATATATACTTTGCTCCAAGGTTCCCTTTTCTATGGTATCAAAGCTAAGACAGGAGTGGAAGACAGAAGGACAGTGTTGAATAGAGAGAGGAATCAAAGCTATGTAAAATGGGTTTAGAGGAAAATTACTTATTTTGATAAAGCATATCTAACAGAAAAAACATAATTGGTTTTTGTTTGTTTGCTTGTTTGTCTTCTTTTTTCTGAGACAGAGTTTCACTTTTGTTGCCCAGACTGGAGGGCAATACCATGGTCTTGGCTCACTGCAACCTCCGCCTCCCGGGTTCCAGTGGTTCTCCTGCCTCAGCCTCCTGAGTAGCTGGGATTACAGGCACCTGCCATCATGCCTAGCTACTTTTTGTATTTTCAGTGGAGACAGGATTTCACCATGTTGGCCAGGCCAGTCTCGAACTCCCGACCTCAGGTGATCCTCCCACCTTGGCCTCCCAAAGTGCTGGGATTACTGGCATGAGCTACTGTGCCCGGCCATAATTATTAATCATTAGAATAATTTCTGAAACCAGAAAAAGGAAAAGATCCTATTTTGGCTGTGTCCCCACCCAAATCTCCTTTTGTATTGTAGCTCCCATAATTCCCACATGTTGTGGGACGACCTGGTGGAAATGATTGAATCAGGGTGGCAGTTCCCCCATATTGTTCTTGTGGGAATGAGTAAGTCACATGAGATCTGATGGTTTTATAAGGGGAAACCCCTTTTGCTTAGTTCTCATTTCTCTTGTCTGCTGCCATGTAAGACAAGCCTTTTGCCTTCTGCTATGATTGTGAGGCTTCCCCAGACACACGGAACTGTAAGTCCATGAAACCTCTTTTTCTTTATAAATTACCCAGTCTCGGGTATGTCTTTATCAGCAGCTTGAAAACCAA